AAAGATGCTGAAGTTGGTAATGCAGGCAGATCCGGTCTGCAGCAAGAAAAGTCCCAGAACAGAGGCTCTGTGTTCAGGACTTTTCTGATGTTTGTGACTCTCCTTTGTCTCCTCTCACAGGATGAAGACGCTCTGCAGGACCCTGCTGCTCCTCATCCTCTCTCCATGTGTCTGTGGTCAGTTTCCATTTTCCCTTTCTGAAGTCCAGAGTCCAGTCTTTGCTCACACAGAACAGATTAGTGGGACCAGGTGGGAAGGCTCCATGTTGCAGTTCTCAGAGCTCCTCTCTCTCCCTCTCCCTCTCCTCAGCAGCAGCGTTTGGAGTGAACGTGACACAGAGCCTCTATCAGGCAGAGGAGACCCACAGCATCACTCTGGAGTGGACATTCACAACCAACCCTGAGAGCCCCTGGAAGGTCCTGATGGCCTACTGCGAACTGAGGACTGGACACACCGTCTCAGTCCTGACTGAACTCATTCATGATGGTGATGAGCTGACAGAGTTTGTGGGGAAGCAGTTTGCTGGACGAGTCCAGAGTGACAGAGAAGAATCAGCGTCCATGTGTTTGGACTCAGGACTGAGGACTCTGGTTGGTTTCAGTGTTCCGTGAGGACTGATCACGGCTTCGGCTCTGAAAGATGTCGGCTGAACGTCACTGGTGAGTTTTTCCGATGAGATCCAAAGCTCAGACGTTCCAGTAGTTAGCAAGAAGAAGCCCCACAGACCCAGCAGCTGCTCATAGTGAGGAGATGTGTCCTGTTTCCATAAATCTGCTTCATTTTCTGTCCTTTACAGCAGCTGCTGATCACCCAGAACCTCAGAGACCGGCTGAGGGTCCAGAACCAGAGGGTCCACAACCAGAGGGTCCACAACCAGAGGATCCAGAACCTGATGGTCCTGAACCTGGATCCAGGATTGGATTCTACATTGGACTGGGTCTGACAGTGGTTGTTGCAGATGCTCTGCTGATCAAACTTCTTGTCTTTTTCTGAACTTTTGTTTCTGAGAATAAACCTGAACCTTTGCAGAGTTTTAAGATAAGATAAGATAAGATAAGAGCTTTATTGATCTCACAGTGGAGAAATTCACTGGTCACATATCGGTTAGGGTACAAAAGGAGGAAAAGGTGCATAAAGTACATCAAAAGCAAGCAAATATACAAAGAAAGAAACACAGCGTAGAGATTTGGGTGATTAAAATATATACAATCATTGAGGGCTCACACACAGTACACATATTACACAGGTCAATAAATATAACACAATTGCACAGCAGTTGTTAAAGTGCAGAGTTGTACAGTCTGGTAGCAGCCAAAACCTTTTACATAAAAAAAAATAAGCTCCTAAATAAATGTTTTTATTTGGGTCCTTGAGGCAAACCCAAACAGATTTTTGCACTTTATTCTAACATCCCTTCGGTTGTAAGTGTGATATAGCTAATCTAATAACTGTAGTTCTCTGTTGCATTATATTATTATTGCTGTAGGTAAAGCGGATTTTCCCCTTTGTGGGACAATAAAGGCTGTTTCAATGCGTTTCTACTCTAAATATGTCTGATGCTGCAGCGACTCCTGATGAGCAGAAGAGAACTGCAGCCAAATCAACACTTTAAACCTGAAGCTGTGATATTTGCTGCTGGGAGCCTGAAGCAGGCGGCCTTCTGTCTGATGAACCCACCAGCAGATGTTCACCGCCTGCTCTGTTTAGGAATGACCAGCAGGGGGCGTCCTAGAGCCACGAAAACAGGCCCTTTGATCACTTTCTCTTCTTTTTAATACATATTTGAGTGATAATTCCTGTCATTAAAGGATTCATTCTTTCAATTTCACAATGTCATACAAATCTAACCAAATAGTAACTGATTCTCTTTTCTTCAAGTCAGTAAATCTGTTGTCTGGTTCCAACTTCTTCCTCAATTTGCCTACAAATAGTAAAAGTAAATTCATGTAAATCCAGTGACAGATTAGAAAATGAAATAGGTTTACTGTGGGTGTGAGAATGATCAGTAATCAGTATTACTGGCTGAAATAGAGGGCCCCACAATCAAACTGGGTCTCCTGGAGTCTCGGGCCGGCTCTGTCTTCACATCTGAGTGTGAAACTCTGCTGATACATGTCCAAGGTTCAGGCCCACAGACAGGAAGTGGAGATCATGGCTTGTTTGGGGTGGGAGGAGTCAGGTTAAAAGGAGTGGAACTGTCACAGAGACAGGTTTCATCACAAGCAATTCACACAGAAAAAGTTTACTGAATAAAGAAAGTAGGCCTGGTTATATGCTGCTAATACAGCTTAAATCACACAACAGAAGAAGCAGCCGGGCAGTTGGATACTGTGCCAGCTATATTAGATGAAAACTGTAACAATTTATTTGACAGGCGACATGCTTGCTGTAGTCCATCGCATACGATGATGACGCCCACTTCCGTCTTCATTTTCGGTGAGTCTTCTGATGGCTGAACAAGCCAATTCTGGATCCACAGATTTTATTGCAAGAGGGGCATGTGTATGTGGTATCTGAGTCGCTGGCAGTGGCTTTAACATTTCTTTTCTGCCTTTTTAAGGCCTCTTTGCTGTTCTATCCAATTCCAGGCTTTCAATCCCTTGCTGACAGAGTCGTCGCCAGTTGTTTCTATCACTTGCTAGGTCCTCAAGCTGTTCTGGCCTTATGTTGCATTTCTTAATCACATTCTTTAATTGGTCTCTATATCGCTTCTTTTGCCCTCCTACAGATCTTCTGCCATGGAGGAGCTGGCCATACAGCATTTGTCGAGGGAGTCTGGTACTGGGCATCCTGATAACATGCCCCGCCCACCGCAGTTGGTTTTTTGCTATAGTGGCCTCTATGCTTTGGCAACGTGTCCTCTCAAGGATTTCCGTTTGAGGTACCCGATTACGCCAGGTTATGCCTGAAAGTCGCTGAAGACATCTGATGTTAAACTGTTCCAGGATCTTAATGTGGCGCCTATAGGTGACCCATGATTCACAGCCATATAGGAGAGTGGTGACACACACAGCCTGATATACAGACACTTTCGTGCAGAGATGGAGGTTTTTATTTTGAAAGATTCTGCGCCGTAGTCTCCCAAAGGCAGCTGAAGCTTGTTTTATTTCTGCTCTGGACCTCACAGTCAATGGTGTTATCTTCAGTGAGAATGCTACCCAGGTACCTAAAGGATGAAACTATTTTTTGTTCTTTCTCACAGACCAAGAAGCTTGGCGGTGCGGATGGGTTGTTGGTTATTTGACACACAATCTCAGTTTTAGAGGTGTTAAGAGTCAGTCCCCGTTGCCTGTAGGCATTCACTGATGTTGTGAGAAACTTTCTGGAGATCTTGTGGAGTATGGGCAACTAGAGCACAGTCATTCACATATTGCAGCTCAAGTACCAGTACGTACAGAGAAGGGTGGAGATTCTTGTCCGCTTACTGTGACTCTGACAGCCATATTATCATGGAACTGCCTTAAAAGGGTCACAAACCTAAATGGACATCCAAACTGGAGTAAAATGCCCCATAGCAGGTTTTTTCTATGCACAGTATCAAATGCCTTCGAGAGATCCAGAAATGCCATGTAAAGATCTTGATATTGTTCCCTGCGCTTTTCCTGAAGTTGCCGGGCTGTGAAGACCATGTCAACTGTGTTCCTGTTTTTCGAAAACCACACTGCGATTCAGGTAGCATTTCTTCTGTGATGTAATCAGTTAATCTTCGCTGCATTATTTTAGCAAGGACCTTTCCACCAACAGAGGGAAGTGATATACCCCTGTGATTTCCACAGTGTGCTTTGTCACCTTTGTTTTTATATATGGTGACAATATTTGCATCCCTCCATGTGGAATGTTTTCCTCAGTCCAAACCTTAATGATGAGATGGTGTAATGCACGGAGACAGAGGTAGGCTAAGTGGCTGAGGATTGGACGTGATGGTATGTCCTCCAGTATGGTACAGTCAGCTTGTGAGTCCTGATTTAACAATGTGTTAAAATGCTCTGCCCACCTCTCCAAGATGCTGCTCTGGTCTTTTAAGATTTCGAGTCCATCTGCTGATTTTAAAGGAGTAAGGCGATGGCATGTTGGGCCGTAGATAGATTTGACTGCATCGTAAAAGTTCGTAAAAAGGCTCCATGGATTATCTGTGCTTCCACTCCCTCAGCAGATGAGGGCACTAAGGTGACTGCATGTTGACCCAGGTTGGCCCTGTCTGAACTCCATGGTGATCAGGGTCTGCTCCTCCTTTGGACCCAGTAGAGGAGCTCACCCTGTGCCCACATAGAGTCCCTGTGCACGCTGACCTCTGAGCAGCTGCTGGGAGGTTTTCTCCAGCTTCCAGCAGCTTCCGGCAGCTTCCGGCAGCTTCCAGCAGCTTCTGGCAGCTTCTGGCAGCTTCCGGCAGCTTCTGGCAGCTTCCAGCAGCAGGCGTCTCCCTCCACTTCATGCTGAAGCTCCTTCAACCAGGGCTGTGGCAGCTTCATGGGGAGTTTATCACCAGCCTTTAGTTCAGCTCTGCTGGTTGGACGTTCCTGCTCATTCTGGGTTGACTTTCTGATGGATGTACTCTACAGCAGGGGGGCAGTTTGGACCCAGATCATACACATACATGTACATTCAAACATGATATCACATGGACAACATGCCCACATGACATTCAGACATGTGGAATAGATGTGTGGGAATATGTGTTCAGTGTAGATACAAATGACTGTTTTCCAAACAAAGAGTATAAAAGTGTTCGTTATAAGTTAAATAATTACAGCTTTTGTAAAATCCCAGCTGTCCTACCAAAGATTAACCTCTTTGTGAGCTTTACTATAGGAAACAGATTGGTTTTCCTTACAAACTTTGAAGCAGGGGAAGAGTCAGATATTTCATTAATTACCTGTGTTTCTTTTCTCTGTTCTAACAACTAAATAAAACAAACAAAAACAGCAGCCAGACAAACAGAAGCAGTAACAGTGAGGCTGCTTTTAGGGATGCTGCTGCCTCCACCTGAGAAGACAACAGCAAACAAACGTCACATCAAGCCAAAGCTGCTGCTCTCATTTTTGGGATGGGCTTCATCAGTGCTCACAGCCACAGAATAGACATCTGATCTGCCCCCCCCCAAAAAAAAATAAAACCTGGACGTTTGTCTCATCTGAGCTTTTTCACAGCATAAACTGTCTAAAAACAGTCAAACTTCCTGTCCTCCCTCTCCTTAATATCCTGCCTAAGGGAAGGCCAATGAACACATACTGCAGTTACATAATGTGGCCACTGGGTGTCTCTGTTCACCACAAACTTTATGGAGGGAGACAACTGTTAAAAGTTTCATTTGTATTCTTATGTACACAGAAATGTTGAACATAAACTCTGCTGCTGTTTGTGCAGAAACTAATGCAGAATGTCTCCAAAAGGGGAGTCCCTCTGATAACCAGCCAATAGTTATTTTCAGATGATGATGTGGTTATTGGTTATTATTTAATGAACAAGTCAGACATAGAAAACCAGCTTACTGCATTCACTGGGGATGGAAACTGTGTCCTGCACAGCGTTCTGTTTACTGAATCAGGAGCAGAATCGGTTTCCATTAGTCCCACATGTGACCTCATCAGACATTTGTCCACTTGGAGCCACAAACCTGAATTTGTGTCCACAGCACTTCAGACTTGGTGGTCGTAGAAATTAGAGTCGTGTTCACAATGATTTAGACTCACGCTCACACAGAAACAGTTCTAACCTGCACAGATTCTCAGACTCAGGCTTGTGACAGCAGAACGTTGTGTTTGTGTGTTTTTGTGTTCATTTCTGTGGACTACAGAGCTGCGAATAGGAACAGGAAGCTTTGACAGCTCTCTGACTCCATACAAAGGAGCCATTAAGCTGACAGCCATTAAACCGCTTCCTGATAAAAACCCATTTACTGAACCTTCCTCAAAGTTCAGTACTGGGACCTCTTCTTTTTGCAACATACACCACCACGCTGGGCCAGATCATTCAGTCACTTGGTTTCTCATACCACTGTTATGCTGATGATACACTGCTCTATCTGTCATTCCCACCTGATGAGCACACGGTCTCAGCACGCATCTCAGACTGTCTCTCTGACATATCAAAATGGATGAAAGCCCATCACCTCCAACTGAATCTCTCTAAAACTGAACTGCTTGTATTTCCAGCCAAACCAACCATACCCCACAAAATTCATATCCAGACTGGATCCCTGTCTCTGACTCCATCAAAGGCAGCAAGAAACTTGGGTGATTACCAGCTGACCTTTAAAGATCATGTTACCTCGGTCTCTCGATCTTGTCGCTTCACATTACTAAACATGAGAAAGATCCTGCCATACCTAACCCAACATGCTACCTAGATCCTGGTGCAGTCTATAGTTATCTCCCACCTCGACTATTGTAACGCACTCCTGACTGGTCTCCCAGCCTGTACAGTAAAACCTTTACAAATGATCCAGAACGCGGCGGCGCGTCTGGTCTTCAATCAGCCCAAAAGGTCTCACGTCAACGAATTGTTCATTGAACTACACTGGCTACCCCAGGCTGCCTGTATCAAACTCAAGGCCCTAATGCTATCCTACAAAGTGCTTAAGGGTACGGCTCCCATCTACTTGAACCCTTTTGCAAAGGCTTATGTCACAACTCGATCACTCCGGTCATCAGTGGATTGTCGTCTAGCAGAGCTACACCACGCTTAAGACCATCTAGACTGTTTGCATGTGTCGTTCCAAGATGGTGGAATGACCTACCAAGCACTACAAGAACAGCAGAGTCCCTTTCTATGTTCAGGAAACTATTAAAGACCCAGCTCTTCAAAGAGCATCTCCTATCCTGACTCTTCCCCAGACCTCTGTGCCCCCCTACTCCTCTTTCTGCACTTCCTTCTCTCTCTCTTGCTGCCACCATTGATTCTGATAAGGGATTTTCCTCTGGAGAACTTATTATCATACTGATAACTGTAAAATTGTGTCCACTTTGTAAGTCGCTTTGGATAAAAGCGTCTGCTAAATGCGTAAACATAAAAATAAACAAAAACTTTTTATTTGCCAGAAATAGTTTATTGTTAAAGCTTTATCGATAAACTGCTTATTATCAAAAAATCATTTATTCCATTATTCTGTAGATTATATACTTGATACACAAGACTTTAGTATAATTAATCATATTCAGTGCTTATTTTCATTTTTTTACTGTAACATAGCATTTCAAATTGTATTTTTTCCAAAAGTACTTTCTGTCTGACTGAAGTGAAAATTTGTTCCTAGTTTCTGCATAACTTTTTTTACAAATATTTTAGAATGAGTAGCAGCTCATATTCATTCACAGTAAAATACCACAGACCCTACGTCCCAATTCACACCTCCAGGGAAATACAAAGGTATTTCAACATGATGTCTATGATGGGAAAAAAACTGTTCAGTTAAACTATTGTATAACTCAGTCACTAATGTGCCTGAAGAAAAAAGAACTGTTTTACTATCTGTGTGTGTTTGTTATTTTTCCATAGGTGAGCTGTTGGGTGTTGACTAGAGGTTAAGTCTAACAGGAAGGCCACCAAAGACCACCATGATGCCCTTTTCTCTGCCACCTCACACCTCGAAGCCTCCACCCAGCCTGCTGCCACCTAACATCCTGCTGCTGCCTCACATCCTGGTCCCTCCACCCACCCTGGTCCCTCCACCCACCCTGGTCCCTCCACCCAGCCTGCCAGAGCCGGCTGAATGACATAGGTGGTAAATACGTAGTAAACTAGATAATCAAAAACTAAATGTCATTCAACTAAATCTGTTATGTTGCGTGTGTTTTCTTGGGGTTTAGATGAGTCAGGCATACCAGGTGGAGACCATCTTTGTTCACCTTTGCAATAGTCATCGTAGAAAAAGAAAATGGCCAGGCACAGTCTCAAGATGGGATCTGATCTTTCAGGGCTACAAAAAGATCAGGAAGTGGAGACTACACAGCAGCTGGTGGGTGTGAGCTGCACCACCCTGGTTCAGAGGCATAATAAAAGGGTGAAAAGACAGTAAACAGCTAACGGGCAAAACCTTCCTAGCCGGTGTTCTGTAGCTGCTGACCCACTTCTGCCTGTATAGATCCCCACTATGCTACACCGTATTCAGAACCAATGCACATTAACGGTCTACTGTCCAACACTGTGGGACGGGCTAAGTTAAAAAGAAAGCTGCAATTTACAAATGCTAGAAATCCATCAGGATAGTGGCAGCTTCTGCGTGCTCTACTCAAAAGGCCTCAGCTAATGGCAGTCGCTCCAGTAGCCTTACAGGGCCCCACTGCTCTTCAGGATCGGGTTTTTGGGCGTTCTCTGTCTCTCCACAGACTGCTCCTGGTCTGGCTGCTGCTCTGGGGTCTCCTCTGGTCCCTGTTCTCACTCCCCCTAGAAGGGCACCCCCCGAAAACTGACCTGCAAAGTTTTGCACAACACCGGCAAAAAATGCGGTCAGTTCAGAATCACTGTCCCTCTGTTGAAACTCTAACTAAAGAGCACTGGCTGGAACTAATTCATAATTCAAAGGTAAAAATACATGTGTACCCATTTGCAAATAACATTTGAAGATTTTTTTATATTCTATATAATTACTGCTGTTTCAGAGCTCTAAATCTTTTAATTTATTTCACAGAGGATTAATAATACCAGGGGTTAAAACTTGTTAAATTCACTGTCTTTGTGATGTCAAGATGCTATGTTGCTGTGAAAAAATAAGCTCTGAATGATTAATGATATTAATGATAGTGTATCAAGTATTCAATATACAGAATAATGTGATAAACTCGTTTTTGATATATCACTGAATCAGATAACTAAATTAAATAAGCTGTTTATCAATAAAGCTTTAAAAAGAAAGCTTTTGGCAAATAAAAAGAACTGCGTTTTAATATACAATACAACATTATTTCCACAAGAAAATGCATTTATAAATATTCTTTAAGATAGCACACAGCTCACGGGAGACTGTTTGATTAAATAAATAGCATTGCGCCGTGTGGGTTCGAACTCGTGACTCTGGCATCAGCCGCTTTCTTCCGCGTTTGCTCCTCTCATCCCAAGCCGCCGACTCTCATTGGCCGGTTACCTCTGACGTAACAAGCCAGCGTCCGCTTGATAATGGACGCGGCTTTACGGGTTTTACTGCTCGACTAGAGATTTGCTTTATTTTATTTTTTTACTTTATTAAAAAAAGTTTGTTTTTTATTGACTATGCCTACTTTCATTTTTCTGCCACGTGTGCAAAATTCACTTTTCTTTTGACCATTAAAAAAATATATACAACAGTTATTCAAAGCATGCAAGTTGTTCAGAGTTTTTCATGGTAAAAGCGTTATTTACCACCTTTGACCTGTTGAAAGGGTTCAAACTGCCCCATCCTAATGCTCATCTTTATCTTTATCTTTATCCGCACTGCACGAGCGCACAACTATTTAAACTTTTCACTAATTTGCTCGGCAAACCCACGTGTCCACATCCGCGGGCCGGACAGAAAGTAGGGCGGTGTATTCACACCGGGCACGCCGCGTCACGAGTCCAACTGGAGAACTGTGGCCGTCCCCTGACCGGCTGACCGGTGTGCGGCTCTTAGGGGTGGGGGGGGGTTGCGCGCGCGCACCGGTCCGGCTCTCCTCCGGGCGACATGACGCTTCCGGACGCGCGGATGTGGACGCTGTTCAGGCGCAACGTGCAGCCCACGGCCACCTACTGGAGCGTGTTCTTCAGCTTCGGCCTGTGCGTGGCCTTCCTGGGCCCCACCATCCTGGACCTGCGGTGCCAGACCCAGGCCAGCCTGCAGCAGATCACCTGGGTGTTCTTCTCCCAGCAGTTCTTCCTGCTGCTGGGCAGCGGCGTGGGGGGGCTTTTCGATCAAACGTAAGCATGGCCGATTCATACCAGACCTATGGTGATGGGCACATTAGTTTGAAAGAAATGTCGAACTGACGGATAACAATTTCATTTGAACCGTCCCTTTCTTTCACTTAGAAATATGTTTGGTAATAATCTTCTTTTACCTGTAACATAAGAAAATTATATGTCTTCAGTAGTGTCTGGTGACTTTAAAGCAATTAAAATGATGCTAATTACTTATCTGCAAAAATGAGGAGTGTTAAACCAACCTTAAAACCGTAGAACATATTCTAGCCAATGCAAGGTGAGTTTTTTTTTAAAGCACAATTCATTTTTAACCACAGTTTAAAGTGCTTTGCATACAATATCATAAAAAGAAATATTAAAAAGTGTCTTAAAGTAGAAAATAAGAATGAGTTCCACTAAATAAAACAAGTAAAAATCATTGAGGAAATAACTTAAAACTGAGGGGGGCAGATTAAATACTCTCAGGTGTCCTGTCTCAGCCAAACAAAACCGTTTTCATTCTGGATTCAAATATGCTCAGAGTTGAGGCCTGGTTCACTTCCAAATGAAATGAATACCCAGAACAATTCCACACACTGAAAGGAGGCGTGGAAAAAGAATTCGGCTAAGAAAAACTAATTCATGAAAGCCATCGGTGAACACAGCAGGACAGTTGAGCTGAATTTCACATTTGACTTGCAAACGCAGAGCATTCAAATCACACCAGGTCTCCTCAGGTGTGCGTCCGCTGCACACCTGAGGAGACTCACACGTGTGAGAAAATGCACGCGGCGTGCGTGGGAACCAGTGCGTCTGTTACCTTTCCCTGGATCTGAGGTGCAAAATGTGCATTTCAGAGTTTTAGTCCGCTTTTTATCAGTGTTTTTGGCAAGGGAAGTTTATTTTACTGCACATTTCCTGTACGAAACAATTCAAAGTGCTTTACAAAAGCAGAAAAAAAGAAAGAAAACGAATCAACAAGATCAATTAAATAGATTAAAAGTGAAGCGTGCAGATTAAATACCTTAAATGGTCATGTGCTTAATTAAACAGAGCCGTTTTCAGCCTGGATTTAAACATTCCGAGTTGAGGTCTGTCTCCCCTCTTTAGGAAAACTGATCCAGATTTTAGAAATGGAGCCTCTGCTTGTTTAGTTCTGACTCTGGGCTCCAGCAGGAGACCAGAACCTGAGGTTCTCAGAGTCCAGCTGGTTCTGAAGGCTCTAACATGTAGGAGATGGACTTTAGAACATAAAGAGACTTATAGAGCAGAGCTGTTTTAAAGTCTTTTCTCATGTTCAGTGACACAGCCGAATGTTTGGGACCCAGCGCCCCTCGGGACTATGTTAGCACAGCTAGTTGAGCTTTCCAGAGCCCCAATAAGTATAAAACACATTTCTTCTCAGATCAAGACGGGAAATGGGAGATTATGTGTTAGCTTTAAGCAGCGGGAGCTTCAGTCACATTTCTTAAATCCAAACGGTGTGAGCTCATCACCTCAAAACAACCTCCCAAACTGGGAAACCTGTGAAGATGTGCTCCTGAAAATCCTTTTCAAATGATTTGAAATGTTGCCTAAATTCCTACACAGATTGATATGTATCTATATTGTTGCAAACGTATTTCTCTACAGGAATTTATACAATGTTGTTGTTTTTTTTTTTCATTTAACTGGACTGTAAGAGGATCAGTCAGTACAGTTTGTATGAGTTTGTACAGTTTCCATAAGTAGGTCCTTGTCTCTGTCCAGCGAGTGTTGACCAGCTCATCATTCTGATGGACTTTACTCTCTTTGTGTGTTCACCAGCGCCGTGTCCACCTTGTTTGCCCTCTTCGTCTCGTCTCTGGTCATCTCGCTTGTGTTCGCCTTCATACCCTTCTGCCACGATGTGATGCTGCTGTATGTCACCATGGCGACGGCTGGCTTAGCCATGGGGGTGATCGACACTGTGGCTAACTTGGAGCTGGTGAAGCTGTACCAGAAAGACTCGGCCATCTTCCTGCAGGTCAGAGACGCATGAAAGTGTTTAGAAGTTATTCTGTTTTATTAAAGAAATCTGTTCAGATTTACAATACCGCAACTGACCATTTGACCATGACCACTGAGCCAGGTGTGTCACATTTAAGATCCATACTCCTTATCTCTCCTCAGGCTTTGCATTTCTTCATAGGCCTGGGGGCGCTGGTCAGCCCCCTGGTGGCCGACCCCTTCCTGTCGGACAGCAACTGTGTCCTGGGGGCGAACTGGACCGCCAACGCCTCGTCCCGGTCAGACCTGCAGCACCTGCGGGACAGCCTGGCGGGGCCGGGGGCCGGCCTGCTGAACACCTCGCAGTACCCCCTGCACACCGAGGGGCTGGTGGTGACCCGGGTGTCCTACGCCTTCTGGATCATGGCTCTGCTCAACGTGAGTTGTTTTTTTTTTACCACTGACCGTTAGCTCACTGAGTCAACAATCGGCCGTCCGGCAGGTCCTGATCCTCGGTGAGGGCCGCCCCCCTTTCCGTTGTTAGACTCTGTTGGCATCTCCTCAGACAAAAAGCAAACAGTGGCATGTGGCACACACACTAGGGTTGTCACGATACTAAAATTTTCAACTGGATACCGATACTCAGAAAAATACTCGATACTCGATACCATTTTCGATACCACAAGGATTAAAAAAAGACCCCAAAATTTAAATGAATTTTGACAGGTTAGTGTCTTTCATTTCAAACTCACCTGTAACTGATGTTATCGTGACTGGTGGCCTGCATTAATAACCCTAACCCCAACCCCAACCCTGACCCTAACCCTGACCTTAACCCTCCACCCTTCATAATTGTGAGAAATAAATATTTTTTGGTTAAACTTGTTTGGACTTATTGTACAAACCTATTTAACATCCACTATTTTAACATAATATTATGCATAGAGTTTAATTAAGTGTTTGAAAGATTAATTTCACAATTTTTAAATGAATCTCTATATTGCCATGAGGCAATTAGGATTTTCTTGCCTTGAATCTTCCTATTGTTAATGTAACTATAATGGCCGACTTCGATGTGGGCGGAGTCGGATATGTACTTGGTTAATGGTAGCACGTTATTGTTAGCCATTAGCCGAAGCTAGCAGTTCAAGGCTAACAACTTGTTAATGATCATAAACAACGTAAATAAATCTGAGAGAAGGGGGGCAGCGACGGCATGTCAGCGTCGTGCGCGCGCTCGCGCTAGTATCGATACTTTTGAAAATGAGTATCGTATCCGGATACAACATTTTAGTATCGATACTTTTTTTAGTATCGATACTTTTGACAACCCTAACACACACAGTTCCCAAACGAGCAACATCTCTCACGATGGCTGCTCACAGTGTTCGGGTCAAAAACTGCAGACCTGAGGACACACAACAGGGGCCTCGCCCTATCCTCCTGAGACCCAGAGAAAAAAAAAAGTGTCTTTAAATTTCTTTTTTTGTTGTGATTTTCCATGTATTTGGACCTAAAAAAAAGAACATTACAATTACAATTAAAAAAAATAAATAATAATAATTTTAATTTCATAGCATGTCCACTGTGGAGGACAACAGGACGATTTGCATGGGAAAATAGAACAGGCTTTAGATCATTAAATAATAAAAAAGAAGATGTCTTGAAAGGGATATTTACCTAAGAACTCTTAGGAAAAAAGTAAAGTTCCCAGCATGCAAACCTATCACATGGCACATCACTGGAAAGCCCAGGATGTGCTCTACAGAACACTATAGGGCTGATAGGGTAACTCCAGATACTTAGGGGGGGGTACATGTGGAGAAAATGCCCACTATAATGGGCATAAATGAATGGACCGGGTCTCAGGAGGATATTGGTGGCGTTTCATCGAAGTCTTGTGTAAAACAGTCCTGAAGGTTTGTGTGTCATGGGGCGAATGCAGTACAGGAGGTCTTGGACAAGTTGAATATCAGTGTATGGAAGTACAGTCCATTTACTATTGAAGTACCGGTCAGCTCATGTTATGTCAGAACTGGACTCCTCCTATAGCTGCTGGGTTGTGTGATTCAAATAAAAGTAATAAAGAATTGTCTTATCTTACAAAATATTCTGCCATACACTTTTTTTACAATGGTATCCCATCTCTGTTCATGTGCTTTTATAATAAAGCACGTGTGTGGGCTGAATGTGAAGGAGAAAACGCAGTACTTGTTGAATTAAAGTAGTTTATGCCATCAGTTAAGAAATTAAGTTCAAACAGTATGATGGTAGTTATTGTATATTAAAGTAGAACAATCAGTGATATGATTAAGGCCAAAGCTTTATTGCACATGTCATTTTTGTAGATTTAGGTTTCTATCAACCAGACCTTTAAGTCTTTTAAAGTGAGTCAAAAGTTCTTTGGGCTTTCTGAATCTTTCCCTATGTCAACATGGGCGCAGTTTTTATTGTATTTCATTGAAACAATATGGTCTATTTCATCATTGGATGTTTAACTACAGGGCTGCACAGAATTAGTCAATGGATTTGTGAGTTTGCACAATAAAGAACAGACTTTACTGTCATTTTGTATGGACAGAGCGCATACAAAACGATTTTTTTTTTGCATACAGCTTACGGCAAAAACAGAATTCAACGATTTAACAGTCTGATTTCTGTCTGATTGACTTAATTTATTCACATTCATTCACAGAGCCGTGCAGTGTAAATCAATATTGGCTGATAACGCACTGAAATAACCATTAAACACAACATACTGTACAATTTTAATGCCAGTTGACAGTAAATAGTTAAATCGATATTAGAAACAAACCAAAAAGCCTGAATGTGAATTTTAAGTTGTTTCTAAAACTTGATTTTTTTCTCTCAAAACAAATAGATTAATTTAGTATCATTGCTTAAACAAAAATAAAGTAAAAAGTAAAAAATTAAGATTCACATTACGATTGCCATTTTCTTTTTTTCCCTGATTCCTTATTCAGTTTTGTGAAACTGCTCAGCTATTTACCCACTTTAATTCCCCTTTTCAAACTCACTTTATGTGTCGTCTCCCAGTAAATGTAAAAGCTCTGTAGAGCTTCTCTCCAGATGAGTTAATGCGATTTAATATTATTATATAGATCCCATTCATGTTATTCAATTTTCAAAGATGTCACACTTTTTTTTTAATTATTTTATCTATGTCCTTGTCTTTTGCTTCTGGGTTGTAGCTGACAAATAATCCGTAGATAAAGAGAAAGAACAGAAATCTTTCACCTGTTATTTGTTATTGCGTTAAAACTTTGATATTATACAGCTTAAGGACAACTTTGGTGCTGTAAAACCCTTTTTAATTTGTCGGTAAAATTAAAGTTGCAGATTAGGTTGTTTGCTGGTTGCCTCCGAGATCTGTAGGCCATGACAAAAAAACAAAAGGAAAACATTGTATTACATTACAGTTTTTTTTTAAAGAAGGAAATTAAAAACATCACTTTGAAGGTTTGGGCGCGTTTCTGCCTCACTCTTTAAAGCATTATGTGCATTTTCTTGTGGCTATGATCCATTACAAAAACAAATGAAATGACACTGATATTTCGCCCGGACAGAATTATGTTTTAAAAAAGCTGTTTTATTGTTGAAACAGTCGTTTCTGTTTCATATAAAGGACAAAAAAAAAGACCAGAGGGACTCTATGTCTACGGGGAAAGGTTCACAAATGAAATCAGCTGAAATGGTTGACCGGTACAATGATCTCTCTGTGTGTGCGGTTGCGTGTGTGTGTGTGTGTGTGCGGTTGCGTGTGTGTGTGTGTGTTGTGGGCAGCTTCCTGTGCCGTTAGCGGTGCTGGCGTTGATGTCCAGAAAGAGGCTCCTGCCCTGTTCCAGCAGCAGTCCCCGCCTGCTGGACACTGACCCCCCCGCTGACCCTGATGTAGACAGTGGACACGGTAGGCCACGTGTGTCTGACCACTGCTCACATCAGATGAAGGAAACCCGCGGTTATCTCATGCTGTTTTTCTTTTTTTAGGACACGGAAATGTGTTTGATTGCTGTAAACCCGCCAAACTGCGAGGTCACCCGCCCACTTTCTTCATCCTCCACGCTCTGGGGGGCGCCATCGTGTTCATCACTGACGGAATCATAGTGAGCCTTGCTTTAACACGCCACACACCAACGGGTCATCCACAGATGATTTTCGCATGCCCCATGCCCCGTCAGACCAGCATACCCATAGTTAATGTGCATGCGCTACCTTTAGCAGAAATCTAAGAGATTAACATTGACGAAGTTTACTAGACTACTTTATTTATGCGTGATATGATAAACAAAAGGTTGTAGTTTAAGGTAAACACACAAACTTGCCAGAAAGCCACACCGAAAGTCAAGTACTTTTGTATACAAATGAACTTAGAAATGCTATTTATAACCATTTCGTATTCAAAGCATGTGCAGTCCCTGGAAAATTATAAGATATAAGCAAATAAAATACGTGGCAAAATTGTACATCAATTTGATCATCGATTGAACTGTTCCTTTAATCCCAACATTGAACAAGATTATCATTACTTTTTTCTGTGCTAACTACAACCTTGCTAAGTATCATGCTCACGTTTGATTCACTTCAATTAATCTGTATCCAAGATGACGTAATGTCCAAATCAAAATCAACGATTGGCAGGGCGGGAGGTGTGTTTTGTAGATTACTGCAGGTGCAGCTAGACCCTTCTCTAAATACACTTTAAACTATCTCAACGCGTGAGTATCCCTTTAGTTTTGTACGAAAAATACACTGTAAACTACCTCAACAGGCGTGTATACCTTTTGTTATGTACGAAAGGTATGGCGATCTGTCGGCCTCTCCAAGTGTTGGCTACTTTTCGCAGTTCGCGCATGCGTATTGACTATGGGTATGCTCGTCTGTGGGGGTATGCGTAAGACTATGGGTATGCTGGTCT